GGGGGGAATACGGTCGAACCAGGGTAAGTTCACGGCCCTCCGAGCGCTTCTCAAGAGCCGGCGGTGGGCGGTATTGGATACGGTGCTAAGGGGCCCGGAGAAGATGGGGTGGGACGCCGCAAAGGACGACCTGATTTCGGGTTTTGATACCATGGCCGACAGCCGGCAATCGTTTCGGGGTTTCAGGACGGTGCAGCTCGGAGTTGGTGTGGACGCCCTGTCGCATGCCGTGGCTCTGCGTGCCCTGTTGACTCTGCCAACGTTGGATGATGCCGGGCGTTCGGATTTATTGCTCGAACGTTTCTTGAAGAGCTTACCGGGAGATTTGTGCGAGACAGCATGAATAGTTAATGCGGAGAGGACCATGGAAGTATTCAACCTGGCGGATGTCCTGAGGAAGTTCACTCGGAAGAAATTTACTCCTATCCAGTTCACCGAAGGCCATAAACGCAGGTCTATAGAAATTACGGTAACTCTCAAGGAGCTAACGAAGGAGGTGGCGGCCATCCGAACCGATTACGAACAGAGAGCTGTCAAGAAGGGGAATTGTAGGCAAGAAGATCCAGAGGGCTTTCAGAAAAATCGCATCGAAACAGTGCAAATGGTGCATCATAGAACCCCCGATATCGGTCGAATCGTTGTGCCCAGACAAGGTCCCCTCCGGAACGACTGATAGTTGTTCAGTCCAGACCCGTATGGAGATGGGGAATCAGAAAGTGCCTGTTTGTCTGACTCAAGTGCTGCTGTTTATATGCCGGAACGTCAGTCGGCTGAGTCAATAGAAGTCTCGAGTACGCCAGTGAAGACAGTTAGCGAACACGAGCCGCAAGTTGACAGCGCAGCAAATCGAATTTTCTCTATCGAGGACACGACGGATAAGCCAAATTTTGCCAGACCGCAAAAAAACGATAAGCAAGTTAATAATGCCGGTGAAACGGAAGCCAACCGCACTTCTGAAAGCACCCGAAGCAGCGTACAAGCAGCATGTTGAAGGCCGTGTCGGCGACCTTGGATCAGCGAAATTATTCCCTAAATGACGCTGGAACCATAGCCGTACGTCAAACAGTCGTCAGAAATCAATCTACCGGTTACCAAAATTCAGTCATGAAGCCACAAGAAACTGTTAGCCAAATAAGGACTCGTTGGAATTCTCAAAAGAAAGACGTCATTGCTCAATGTATGCAAAGTTTATTTTGAGGTTCTACTCACATTTGTTAGTAGCATGGAAAATAGTTCGTGATTTATTTCAACAATCAAAAATCAACAAGATCATCGAGAGCAAATTGCTGTATCTCAAAGGATAACTCCCGATTGATACATTCATCACCCGTTGTACCGCCGGGAATTGCGATGGTATGTTTCTGTTGAGATTTTCTGTGTAATGTGTGCCAAATTATTGATGTCCTATCTGTAATCCTCAACAAACAACTGTCCTCGACTTAACACCGCCTTTGGAATTATAACACTACTACTACTGCTACTATGCTCATCTCTGTTGGAGTGAGCATGATACTGAATGCACTGAACGCATCAAAATTTGGGGTCATATCAGCAATCCACGACTATAGATGACCGAGCAAAGCAGTACCGGATTCGTACGCCCGGACGAACGGTGCAACCAGGGAGAACGATTTTGTGTACTTCAATGCATTGTTACTTCAGTCCCTTGAAAGCGACTTTTGCACAACATGTGTTGAGGGCCTATAACTGACCGATACGGTGTCATACATGCCTGTGGTCAGGTTGCTTGATCGACTGGTTGACAGTTGAATGCCGATTCGATGGCATTCGGACGTAGTGCAACGTGTGAGCTTGTGTCGGTCTGCCTGCCTGCCTGCCTTCCTGCGTGTTGCGGGTTGTGCTTGCTCCTCGGTCTATGAATAGGCGACGTATTCGCCGTTTGTTATAAACGTGTTGCTTAAATTACGGTGTGCTTATCTCCCTACTCAAACTGGAACAAAACAATATGTATAATGATTTCCGGACTACGCCATCTGGGCCTGGGTTCTTCTTATCAACCTCATTACTTAATCAACTTAATCATAAGTAAATTGTATTTACTGTATGAGGTACGAACGAGCTCCCAAAGAGCCAAATCCATGCGACGAAAACCGTGAAAATACCCTGGTGTCTATGGAAGAGCAAGAAGTTTATATACATATGTATATATAAAGCTAAAAGCTCATACGCCATTTTTTTAACAAGTGAGTTTACTACTACTCTTCCAGTTCTACAAAACGGTAATCTGAAGCATCGTAACGAAAAATGTCGTACAAGTTTACATTGATTTGGTTTGTTATTCTCTCTTCCCTTTATGCGTTCTCGTTCGGCCAACAACTCTCGGTCATGGATAAGCACGACAGAGGAAAGTTGCGTCGGACCTGTGAGGAACCAATCAGGGCAGGGCAAAGGAGGCATTTAGGTCACGGACAAATTATATCCACCAATCAGACGGGGCGAACGAGTGAGCAGTGAGGAGAATGACGGAGGGACAGTGGTGGGGAGAAAATGAACACAGAGCAAGTGACCGATGCGTATGTTTTCCCACTCACCCCTCCAGTCAAAGGGATACGCATATACTCTAACGGAAAGAGTAACGGAATCAAAGCCGATTCGATCGCTCGCCTATCTTTCAATCTTTCCACTTACAATCTGAGTTGAACACGCCTCTCACCCATGCTAGACTGGACTCACACTGACGCTTCAGTTCACTTCGCCAACTCGACTCTCTCGCGCGGTTGAGCAATTGGGTCGC